AATTTAATGCATAGCCGCCAATTTAACGAAGAAAGTTTGCAGACCGACAAGAACCATTTGGTCAAGTTATTGACCGTTATCTAAGGAAAGAAATTGATCTTTGCGAGCGAGCTCTTCACTTAGCATTTTCTGCAAATAGATGGGAAAAGGTGTTTGTGGATTTGTGAAAGTGTTTTCCCTATCTTATCAACTTTATGTATCACATGTATTGTTTCAAGGCCGCATTGATAGAGGAGAAGATTGCTGATGGTGTTAATGTGATTTGTGATCGATACTGTTTCAGCGGAGTGGCATACTCCATCGCAAAAGGTGAGATATGGAATGTATGCAAGTTTCTCTCTATGCTAAATTTATAAATAGTCTTTAACTTTTTTCTCCATACTGTTTCAAAACCGCCGTTGGCAAAGTTTCTTTTGCATATCTGTGCTTATCTTTTTTCTCAACTAATTCAAAACCGCCATTGGCACAGTTTCTTCTGCATATTTTGTTCTGCCAGTTCCATTACTATGTTGTTTTGATGATTATAGCCTTTACTTTCTTTTTAATGATTTCAAAAGACAACTTTCGAGTATCTATGTTTTATTGCGATTCAAATCGACTTTACCGACTAAAACCCCTAAGAAATGATGATTTTTGACTTATGTGTGGCATCGAGCTGTTATGCTGAGCCTCAGAAGTTTGCGTACGCAGTGAGGGCGTTATTATAGTTGTTTTAGGCTTGATTTTAATCAGTTGTGGAGAGGATGATGGCTTTTATATAGTGAAGTTGATTATTTCCGGCTTGCTCTTACACCGTCACCTTTTCAATAAGAATAGAAAGCAATTCCAAAAAAGTACTTCGTAAGTTGCTCAAAGATGCAGAAGTTTTACTGTAAAAAACATGCTAACATTCATAGCTCGTAAGTTATATTTGCAGCAGAATGTTTCTAGGTTAATCGCTTCTATGCATATAGCACGATTTTTGAATTTCCAAAGCTTCATATAGTGTGAGAAAAGCCATAACTACTGAATCAGCTTGAAATCATCCAGATATTATCGGCGTGAGTGTACTGTGAAGAGCAAATCATCTACATTAGCAGTTGAGATAAAAGCTCTCAAGAATGCTTATTCAAGATTTTTGCTAAAATCTTCCCAAAAACGTCTTAATCGCGTCTTTAATATTACTCTTTATATATTTCCCTTCAACGGTCTTAGGGCACAGGTCCCCCGAGAGCAAGCTGGAAAAAGGTGCTAGTCCTTGATGTCCGAGGATTT